CAACCTAATGCCTCATGTTTCCAAATGCATTAGAAAACATGTTGACCTTTTTCTCCTTTACAGTTTGACTTCATCTAGGAAATGAAATAGAGCAAAACAGATGGACAATACTGCATCCACCAAATAAACATTATAATAAAACCAGGTAATTTATTGCACAACCAAACAAGCAGATGCAGGGAAAATAAAAAAAATAAAGAAGAAGAGGAAGAGAAAAAGAAGGATTTGTGCAATGATCTAGAGCCCAGCCTACACCAGGCTATCTTGTCCCTTCACTTACATATCAGGACCACTCCAATGGTTTCCTATCTTTTCTTGCTAACAACGGAGGCTTGAAGGAGTAAAGGGAGAATGTGCTATTCCTAGAACTGTGTGCTTTTTCTTCACTGTATTTTTGAGGGGTTTGTATCATTCAGCTGCTCTTTGTTGTACAGGAATAAAAGTTCAGTTTTGAAAATAGGCAAGAACAAAGCTGTAGAAATTGCCTGGAATTTCCTCCATTTTCAGCCATCTGGCTTTCATTGCTTTGCTTCTCTCTCTACTCCTCCATACATGTTTACCAAATCTTTTCAACACACATTGACCAAGCTATTGAGCAGTTATAATTAATAACACAGTTACAACATTCTCTTTCACCCTTTTTGTAGAATTTGTTGGCTCACCACGAGGTGCTCATGCTGCTGCTGTTATAAACAAGAGCAATTATAACTGATTAGATGATGACTGCCTCTGTATTTTGGGTTGTGGAGGATGAGAAAAAGACACATTTTGGATGTGAGTCATTTGGTTGTTGAAAACAGTAAAGCCAACATTGAAACAGGGTTCTTCTGATTGTTTTTGGAGTAATTTAGAATACAAACATAGCAATTAGCAAAACTGAGTGATCTGCCCTTTTATTTTTTGAGCTTAGAGAAGAAACTTGTACACATTGAACAGCTATACCTCATTTACTTTTAGGAAGGCTGTGCTCTGCTCAAGTACTGCTATGTAATTCTAGAAGTTCTATGGCTTGATTGACACAAATTAAATAACTGAATGACTGAATTAAAATAGTCATGGTTGTCAGTCCTCTCTTTGCTGGAGAAAGCATGCTGGGTCTCCCAGTACCTCAAAACAGGCTACAAGCTTTTTACAGAAATACTGAACAAGGGTACACCAAGTTAATGAAACAAAATTTTGCTCTGTACCTACTGTGCTGAAAATCAGTTATTAGCTCCCAACTTTGCAATCAGCTCCACAGCTTTTCACTATTTCTTAATTCATTGCAAAACGGGAAATTTTGTTATACTGTTTTCCAGGAGAAAAGGGACTGGGCTCTTTTTCTGCTATTGTTCTTGAAGCAATGAGTAAGAAACTCTCAAGAAAATCTGAAACCACAGGAAACTCAGCTGCTTTGGGATGTGAATATGGATGAAATCTTCCAGTTTTTGTGTGAAACTCTTCTTGGTTCTTCTTCTTTATTCTGTAAGAATTTTAAGCTTGAGATTTTGCTGACTCCATACAGCTGTGAATATTTCAAGAAAGATTTCTGTGGTTTAGTTTTTCTGTCTCTCTTCAATAGGCTCAGAATAGTAATGAGTGAAGATACTAAGCCAGAATTTCAATGGAAATTATGAGGCTCTCTCAGCTGCTACACAAGCACCACCATCTTTCAATGTTTTCATTAATCTGACGTATAGCCAGTATATTCCAGCTTTTACAATATTTTGTTCCAGGAAAGACCAGAGCAATTAGGAACTGAAGAGAATGATGACACCACAGACTAATTGCAAGGTCAAAAATTAAGTGAGTAATGAAGTCTTCTCGTCTATCCACATTTATACACAGTAGGGAGCAAAAAAAGAACAGGAACAGTGAAGATTTATTTTGCATAATTGTTCTTAAGCGTACAAAAGGAACGATGAAACAAAACCAGATTGAAATTACTCTTCACTGACTCCTCCTGCAGTATCTGTCTTGAGGTGTATGCATTCTGACCCTCCAGAAAGGCTGACTAGATTCTGTGGTTCAATACATTTGCTTGTCTGTATTAAACCCGCTAAACCAATTGTTGACCAGGAGAGCCTTACATGACTAAACCCTAGACAGGGTACGGACAATGCCACATGGAACCAGAAGTGCCTGGAGCAGAAACAACATTTAAGCCTGGAAGTTCTAATTTTCAAATGTTCTCCCTCTTAAGCTGAACAAGATCATGAACTGTATTAAATTCTAGACATATGTATTAAATTCTAAGCATGCTGTGCTGTTTTAGTTCAAGAAACATCACTGGAATAATTTCTCTAAATATATTAGAAGGGAATTTTTGTTCTTCTGGGCAAGACTTCTCAAGTTTTTCTTCATGCTGTGGACAACATTCCCTTGTCTACTGACATTTGTCACTGTCTCAGTTGCCATTTCAGCAGATTGCCTCCTCTAACCACCACAACTCTATGGTCCAACAGTCACTTACACATCAAGGACATTTCAGGAAAAGTGTTTTTTATATTTTTAACTTCTGTTAATGTACTTGAGCAGCTGGAAAACAGAGTGAAGAGCCAACATTATGAGACCAGCCAGCTCTCTCTATAAGCCATCAGCAAAAGCTCTGGGAAGTATCAGTGGTTCACAGATTTCATTTTGGGAACTTCTGTAACAGGGATCTAAGTTCACAGTCAGTGCATTACAAGTTTTGGACTTGTCAGTCAATAGCAAAGCCTTTAGCAGGACATAATTTTAGCCTAAATTTCCATCGATTCTTTTTTTTTTTCATGTGTTCTCCTCCCAAGTCTTAAGCCTGTTGTCATTAATAATGATAAAGCAATAATCTTTATACACTAAGTACTATCAGTTTATTTAATATACCACTGTATTTCATGCAGTGGCATTAGTAGATATAGCACTTCAGAGGCTTGCAGGAAATAAGGAAGTCATCCTGTCACAGCCTGCCTGGGAGACACATCAACTTTTCCTTCTTGCCTCTGTTTCCCTTAGCCATGCTGCCTGCTGTCTGCAGCCTTGACTTTTAGGCCCCCTTGCTCTTACCAGAGGAGCCATTTTGCAGAACATGTGCTGTTCTTCATCCTGTGCCACTTAAATCTCTGCAGACAGGCAATTTCCTCCAGACTGAAGGGTCTGGAGGGAGAAGAGATGTATGTGCAGGGAAAGGAGTCATTTCCCCTTTTCCCAGTTGCAGCCCTAGGCCTGGATGAAAGCTGCTTAATCTCCCCCCCACCCCTCAATCCCCTTTCACCCCTGCTTCATGGCCTCATTCTCACCTACAGTACAAGTCCTGTAATCCACGGAGTGGACTGCACATCCAAGGTTGCTTTAAACTAGCTCCAGTCTGATAGCAAGTTTACCACAGTGGCGTGGACTGTCACACAGACTAATGCAAAAAGTATTCACCCAATTTCTAAGAATACCTTTGTAACAGATCTCGCATAAATAATGGCTTATATGAGTGTGCCTTATGTTTTCTTAGCCAGTGAATATTTATCTTCCGTGTCAGAAATGATGGGTGATCAATGTCCTATTCTGCCACCTGTCCATTACAATGAGATTTCCACCTACAAAGTTATTTTCAATCATTAATATATGTGTGTTATTGCCAGCAATACAGACAATTTAACAAAGTCCAGGTTGAAATATCCTCATAAGCAATTCTTGTAATGCTTTGGTGAAATGTCTTAGCCTATTTGGCTCTGCATGTCACAGGCTCAAAATCCTCATCATCCAAACAAACCGTTATTTCTGTCCTTACCATTCTTGGATGTTGGCCGTGTTTGATGCCATATTTTATTTTTAAAGTGAACCTTCCCTGTGCATCCAAAATCTACTAATACTTATTAGCGATATTCCTCTGTATAGCCTGCTGTCATGTAAAGCACACATACAGCTACTGACACACTCTAAGGAATATCTGCCACCTGGAAAGCACTAAGTGTTTTAAACTTTATTAATCAATGTTATGAATGAATGTATTTCAAATCTACAGCACTACCAGAAGAGAGCAAACGTTCCTGAGTACAGCTAGGAATACAGACAGTAAGTATACAGCACATCCTGAAGACTTCACAGCCCTGGGTCTATTTAAATGAAGCACGGGAACCTCAAGACAGCTATATTCTGTAGCAGAGGGTACAGATGTGAATCTCTGCACACAAAGATCTGCTGTTTTTAGGGTCAGGATTGTGGAAGCTGCCTGAGGCCAGTTCTGCAAAACCTTTTGTGAGAGATGAGGTTGGAGATGTCTCCTTAAACTTGACATGACTCTGGGTAAAGTTATGTCAATGCATAAACTGTCTGCCTGCAGGGCCCGAATAGGCAAGCAGTCTGAAGTTTGCCTTTAGTTTTACCACCATTTTGCACTTCCTGGTCAATACACTTTGGTGTGAAGAGGCTGTAAGCCCCTGCAGCCTGAGAAAGAGCATGTGTGCAGCAGTGCGTGCCTCCAGACCCAAGGGCCATTGAGCCTGGAATCACCAGTTATTTAGATTTTTTTTTTCATACTGTTAGTGTTGTTTAAATGGCTCTGGGCAACATATTGGACTACAATCACCCACACTTGTGTATTTATTCTCCTTTAGTCATGGATTCTGCAAAATCCATTAAATGATGATAAGACCAAATGTCTGGGTATTCTCACCTGCAATAACAGCACCTACCCAGCTGTGCCCATCCGCTACTTTATGCAGCAGCATAGTTTTATTCACTCACATCACCTCTGCTCACTTCACGTCAGTTAAGGAGTCCCACGAGGAGTGACATGGATCTGCTAAACCCAGACAGCTGAGTCTGTGGTACTGAAACCTGTGGAGCCATCTCAGGCTCTCAACCATGTGTTTTACTCTTGTATGTCAGGAGCCATGTCAGTAATGCCAAGATCCAAGCATCCCTAGCCTCAAACATCACAGATTCATGGGAAATTTGAAGATCAGTTTCTTAACTTCAGCAGTGGTCACACCTGTCTCAAATCTGGAAAAAAATGCATGCCTGGTGATAAGACATGAGAAGCTTACCTTGGGGGACAGGGGTCCAGGCTACAGGCTTTCAGCAGCTGGGGAGGACGGCGGTTGGTTACACACAGCGTCTCATCCACAGTCTCCCTGGTTTGTTTGTTCAGGCAGGTCACCACAGCCTCCTGGACACCTGCACATAACAATGCATGGTCACGGCCAGCTCTCCATACCCAGAGGGGCAGCCAAGGGCAGAGACGGGCCCAGTGGGGACAGAGGGGCAGTGTGGAGGCGGCATCTCTGGCTGCAGAGACCAAAGAGCCTGTTTCCCGCACTGCAGTGAGGTGTTCGCTGTGCACATCCAGGAGCTCTGCCTGACGTCCTTTGAGGAATACAGTATGAATGTCTGCTGAAGGGGGATGTTTCTTGGCACAGCATACCTGACACAGCAAGGAAAACCTCAGTTCCTTTTCTCCCTTCTTTTGGGAAAAGTCCTCATCTCTAACTCCTGCAATTTTCCATGAATAGTCATTATCTGCTTACTTCACTGTTCGTATCCTGTTCCCCAGCCACCGGGAGATGACCTGATTGAAACATTGCGTGGGATGCTAGGCTTTTACCTGCCCTAGCTTTCAGTCTCACTAGATGACTCAACTGTAGTAAAGTCCCTAGGTTCATTCATCACTTACCTCTCCCAGACAGAAAATTGTCCAGTGCTCTCTAGTGACCGATCCTTTCAGAGTGACTGCAATGAGGCTGTTTATCTGTCAGTCAAGTAGCTTAAGGTGTGAAGATGACTTTGACTTCAGCGTGCTATATTTTAAGCAACAATTAACTGCTATACATGCAAAAGTAAAGTAAAACAAGGCCAGACAATTCAGCTGATCTCAGTTACTCTTCTGCATCCACAGACCTGCACCTAAACTGAAGATGCAAACCTACAGGTTGTATCTGAGAGCTGGGATAGAACAAGGGAGACTGTTGAGACTAAGAGGGGAGCTAGGCAACTACGTTTTAACTCAGGAAAACCTTGGTGATACCGAATTCCTTATGTACTCTTTGACATAACAGTTATTCGGTCGCACTTTTCCTATGACGATGGTAGGAATATTACAGGATTTTTGGATCACAGGATTAGAATGTTAGAAAATCAGCAACACTCCGTGCCATAGGAAGGAGTACTTGGTGAGAGAGGATCTACTTCTTTTGTAGGGTGTCTGAGGGTAATAATTGGCCTGAAGTCCCTAAAAATCTAATCCACAGTGGTTCAAGCAGAGTGGAAGTGGGCCTTTTACATTCATCCCTATTTCCTGTGTTAGGAAAAGATTGGCTGAACTCGTAGCAATTGCATCATCTTCTCAAAACCAACACTTAGTTTTCCAAAATATCTCACAATCTTTTAAAGGCACAAAAATTCTTAAAAAAATAGTGTTGAAAGAGCTTCAACAGCTCCAGGAACAGTGTAACAGAACTGGCAATACCTTTTGCTGTTTCTAATGCCAGAGCACATGTCACTAAGCAAATGATACCATATTATGCAACAGGACCTGAGTGCTGCAACTCACTGTAGTTCCTGAATGATTCACGTATTCATTCCCCTTATTCTCAGTACAGGCTGAAAAGAGGCCCACAGCAAAGTGGCATGTTGAGCAATTTATTGTTTCCTATGTGTGCAAGCCTATTTAGGCCACGCCTATAACTCAGGGATAGACAGTGTCTCCATTGCACTCAAGGTGCTGAAAAGAAGAAAGAAATTTGACATTTTTGGACATGGACACCAACATCAAAATTACTGGAGTACAATAAAGTCAGCATTTCAATATGTTCTCTGCTCAATGTTTCCAGCTCAATCATTCTTCTGTTGAGCATGTTATCATACCGTGTACAGTAAACAGAGGCATATGGATTCTCCAGGACAGACTATTCCTGGCTGCAGAAAAGAGGTGATTCTCTACCTGATGGGAAATAGCATGGTGTTCAAGTTATTCATCTCTGCTTTGTACTGATCACATGTTCAGGCCTGACAGCAAGACCAGTCTGATGAAGCTAGGAGAGAAGGACCGCTAATCCACTGGTATGGAAACTGGGAAAGTACACTTAACTCAGTGGAAAGAAACCACTGAGTCCTGCCACATGCTGGTGACATCATTCTGTTTGTTAGGGATACAGCTCACTCACCATCTGTATGTGCCGGATGTTCTTCTTTTCAGATCAAAATTTTGTAAACGGAGTGTGCTTCCACAGTTTTAATTTCTCCTCTCTGAACTGTCATTAATGAGCTCCTGACTGATGATTATCAATTACATTATCACTTTTGCATTGTCTGTTTCAATGCTGACTATCCAAAAGTGACTGATTACAAGGGTTTGAATTCAGGCTTTCTTTGTTTCTCAGACTGATGGTTTGGTTTCACCAAATTCATATAGACAAGCTCTGATACCACTGCTTTTCACTTTTCAGTATTCAACCTGTCCCAAACCTCCCAATGAGTTAAATCCTCATGATTATTCCTGTCACCTAAGTCATCTCTGATTGTATTTCCAATAAGTCTATCCTACTAGCATTCTACTCTGCTCATTATCATTTCCTTTCAGAGATTCATACAACCTTTTACCTTTTAAGGGTAGCAGTAACACCTGTAGTCTTGCCTGACAGCATGGGTGCTGAAGAAAAAGGCTCCTGCCTGAATGTAACCAGTCTGTGGTTGCTAGACTATGGATGAAGTTTCTGGCTCTAATAGCTTTTGCCGGTAACTAAAAAAACCCTGAACAAACCAACAAACAAAACCCCAAAACGAAAACAAACAAAAAATTAAACCCCACCCCAAATAAGCCACCCACCAAAAAATCCCCCAAACCCAAAAACTGGCTTGCTGCAGCAGCAAAAAAATATGCTCAGAATCACTTTCTTCACCTTCTTGAATCTCGCATTGAGTGTGTCTCAGCATACTGATAACATCTGTTTCTCTGTTTCTGATTGGTCAATGAGGGAAATAGTTAGAGACTTTAAATCAAGGATGGATCATTGAATGTTTAGAGAATATAAAGACCTTCGATTATCTGTCAGAATTTCCACAGTACAGAGATAATAAAAAAAACCTATATGAACTTCAGGAAGTCTGTTTGCAAAGTAACCGAATTCTAAACATTATTTAGTGCACAATATTACCAGAACAAAAAGCTGTCCACTTTAAAATTTCTTTCCCTGAAAAAAAGAAATCAGTTCTCAATAGGAAATCACAGTATAAAAGGGTGTAAGGGTGGGACATGAATCTAAGTAGTTTTAAGTTCACTTTCAAAATACCATCAAATAAGATTTTCTGTGTTTATATCTACCAGAACAGAATAATTGTTACATGATATTTGATGACAGCTCTGGGAAATGCAGCCACTAACAGCAGACTAAATGACTAACTAATTCCTTCTGGTTGCTACTTCTGGGAGGTGAAAGGTTACTTCTGCATCTATCCAATTTCTTCTCATGAGACTCCAAAACCAATAAAATTAGTTTGACCGGTCTTGCACCTATGGCTACAAAAATATCTGATTTAGCATCTGCTAATCTAGAAAATTTGGAGTTGACGTCAGGCTAAAAGAAATCTTGGCTAACAATTTTCTCTGACAATTGACAGAGATTAAATTTAGAAAGCAAAATATCTCTGTCAGATCCGTCTCTGTGAGTTATATTTGAAAACTACACACATAGTCACTATATTCAAAGAAATGGCTTCATTTCAAGAGGTTATTTCTAGAAGCTATTCAGGTTTCAGTATTCACAGTGTGTGACAAATTGTTACTGCTTACTAGTAGCCTCAATACATGACAGATACTCCTGTAAAGTCAGTGTTCATCACCACTTAGCACACACTAGTGCCATATTTTTTATGTAGGAAAGAAAGCAATAGTGGCAGTGGTCTGACAACTTTCTGTGAACTGCTCTAAACACTGACTACTGTCAGCAAGCTAAAAGTAAGCATAGAAAACCTTTGCATTATCTTCTGCTGTGATTTCTGATATTATAAATGCTTACTGGTAAATCTGTACCTATCACATTAATCACCATTCAAAGAGCACTGAGTGGTTTCCAGTTTTACAGTATCTATTCCGCATTTATCTATAGTAATCCTTTTTTAAATACCCTGAAACTTGGAATGTACAAAGACAGCAGCTGGAGAAGTCTAGGTTTAATTAAAAAAATACTGGTGTGGACACAGTTCTCAGAACTAGCTAAACAAATTTATGGGAAAAAAAATGTCAGAGAACTGTGCATTAATAACCTGTAACATGTGGAACCTGAGGACTTGATTAACTTTCAGAAAATCCAAGTGCAAAGCCTGCTAGCTTCAGACAATCACACCATTATTGGTTTTTTGCCATATGTTCTTTTTTTTTGCACTGGGATGGAAGCTAATGTTATTTAGGAGTTAGGGAACTGGCTGAGAGTAGCAGTAGAATTAGAATATCAATGAATCGGCTATGGGAGGACAATTTACCTCCACATATTTATACTTACACAGTACAAATCAAGAGATCAAAACTAAAAATGACATGGGATTCTTAGCCTGTATCACCAGATTGCTTTAACATTCCGCTTTTTTGTGTGAGCGCTTTTTGAGTGATCAGCTGTTGTAAGGATCACAAGTATGTGATGCACTGATCACTCCTGGTGACAGCCTGAGCATGGAACCTTAAAGTCCTGGGCTAAAACATGTTGTGCACATGGGTTTTTCCACAGTTTTGATCCATGCCCTTTCAAATATTGTTGGACTTGATAAACTTACGGTTGGACTCAATGATCTTAAAGGTATTTTCCAGCATAAATGATTCCATGATTCCAAATGGCTGTAGCAAAACAGTATGTCTGTGGGTGTTAACTGCAAAGCCCAAACTTGAACGAAGAAAAACAAATATAGTGCAGAAATATTTTGCACTTACCTCCTCCACAGGACTCTGAACACTCTGTGAAGCCCTCGTATTCCCATTCATAGAGCTCATCAAACTCCTGTAAACTGCCAAACAGCAGCTCAGTTTCCTCTGGGGTATATTCAGTTGCTTCCCCACTGCAGGGACCACTGTAACAGGCTCTCTGAGACACAGGTTTGGGACCTTCACATTCATCGATGGGCAAGTCAGCCACAGACTGAGAGAAAGAGAGGAGCACTTGACATTTCACAAGCCGCACCTGGCTGCCCACTCCACAGGTGACACTACAGGTAGACCAAGCCTCCGGAATAAACCTGTGAGAGGAAGAGAGCAAGGCAAGTTATGTTCCACAAACAGCCAGGCGAACAGAAGCCCTGTAGTCCTGTTCAGCCTAAATTCTCTTTAATGAGAAACAAATGCCTCACCTCATCATAGTGCTATTATGAAATACATGAGAGCCATGACATATTATTGACAACTCAGTGGTTAACAGTGGAAGGGTTCTAAAGTACTCATGTGGAGTGTCTCCTTATGTCCAGGAGGAAAGACACACACTTAGAGCACCTGCCTTGATCCCAAAATGTCTCAGTGCAAGGCATGATGCATTTTCCCAGTGTACATCATGATGCTAGCTACTTTTTGCTGGTACTCAAGCTATATCGCCTTTGCCTTAGTTGATATCACAATTATGTCACTAGTAATTATTGAACAGGCTGCTGTTATCAACTAGTTACAGTATTACAGGGAAAAAAAGTCAAGCATTGTTCCTGTATTGCAGTAACAATTTTTAAGCCTCAGTTACAAAAAAAGACAACTCATAATTTCTTTAGTTGCGTGTGTCCCATTGCGATCCCCCACCCCTGCACATTTATTTCCCTTCTCATTAAGAAAGCATCATTCCATTTTTATTCTGGATATCTCTGGCTGTTGCTCTTGTCTTATTGATGAGGAACCCTTACATGCAAGTCCACACATACTTTAATAAAAGCACCATGCATCCATCGTTACATTAGGTAGAAGAGACTGTGTTCCTTGAGTTCCTGCCGGATAATGGCCTAGGATTTTACTCAACATAGTATCAAGCAGAAGCGTCATGTTCAACTCTGTACCACATCATTACCACCTTGTTTAAATGTAATATGCCTTGTTTGCTGAGTTCATGTTGATCTATGCTGATTCCTAAACCTTTCTGGAAACAACGGTTCCAGGGTACTCCATGGCCAACATTACTTAGGCTTAGATACCAAATGCCTGTGGTATTAAAGCACTGCAGTAATGAATCCAGGTTGCATGGTGACACATGTGGCTTTGTCCTACTGTCTTGTCTTCTCTATTGGCCATTCTGCCAAACTTTCTGCCATTGGCAAATTCTGAGGAAGAGGCTGTAGATATACTTCAAGGGCTGGAACAGATGAGTGAGTAGTTGGACCTGGCACTGATCTCTTAAGAACCTCACAGAAATAATCCCTATTGATAATGTTCTCCAATTATCAGTAAGTGTTTGGGATCTGTCAGCTCCTTCAAGATCAGCAATTTTTTTATAACTGATATTTTTGAGTGCTAATCTAATGAACCAAAAGCTTTTTCTGATAGGGTCAACTGCCTGACAGAAATTCAGGTCTTTCAGCACCTCATCTTATGCATTAGCTAAATTTATCTAATATATCAGAGTTCATGGGATGTATTTTTTATTAAAACATGGCTGTCACTGACAGGATTCCTCTCCTTTGGCCTTCATTTAGATAGGCCACAACAGACTTGGAAATCTTTGCCCAGGGCGAAAGTCAATAAATACATCTGTCCTTTCTACAGTCTATGGCTATTCAGGGCTACAGGAAAGTAGTTTCTCACCTTGGGAATACCATGAGCAGTCTGAGAGGAAGAAAAAGAAAATTTAGTTTTCTGATCAGAATCTTTGAAACTATTTTTCACGCACTTCTCTTCTTGCCTCTCCATTGCCTCTCTCTACTTCAGAAAAGGACTTTCTCTTCAGAAAGGGGTTAAAAAAAGAAACCCAAACCAAGAAAGGAACCTGGTGGTTCCTCCCGCCCCCTCACATCCCCTCCATCCTGCCCCCCTGCATTCTATGTACCAGGACCCCTGAATGGAACAGCACAGTCTCCTAGAGCAGACAGTGTGCATCCCTTTACCTGCTTTCTGTGGGTGTTTATAACATGTTGTTATAAATCTGATATCCGTTGCTGGAACTGTACAAAGGAAGCAATAGAAAAGAAAGAAATAGATTGTATATATTATTGGAATATTTTAAACAGTTTAGAATGCTGGTACAAAGACCAAAAGAATTCTTTCTGCAGCAAAGGCATTGAGACACTAATGGTAAAAAGGGATTCTATTTCCCTATTATGAGACATTTTATCTTAAAAGATAGGTCTTGTTTAAAAGATGATATCCTTTATTTTGAAAGAATTCACAGTCTTTAACAGGACAGGTGGGAAACTCATCTTGTTTTCTCTAAGACTGTGTGAAATATCTCCTGTCACAGATTAAACAGTCCATGTCAGCCACTGTGACTTACATATTTTGATTAATTTAAATGTATAGCTTCTTGACCTGACAAACTAAGAAGTAGAAACCCTAATCAGGTTACAAGAAAAGGGCACTGGTTTTCATCAGAAGCTGTCGTTCTTATATGTTTTTACATTGTGAACTGTTGTGTAACTTTGCTTTGTTGAAGAGCTGCTGTATTACTAACCGAAAGGGATGATATTTTGCCAGGTATTAAAATTACACATTTAGAAAAACAGAGATACTTAATATATTTTACACATGAGGTATATCACACACACACAGGAAAAAATGTGAGCACACAAAAGGGAAGTAAGAACATTATTAAAGCAGACTGGATCCTTTTTGAAATGAGGATCCATTGACCTATAAATACCAGATATAGTATTATTTTACCTTATTCAGCAAGTCATACTGAAAACCTGGAATACCTTCAGAAAATTATATTATTTTATTCAGCTCTTTAGGCCCCATTTCTACATTTTAAGTGATACATTTGGAAGTGTGATTTAATTCTAATATTGGCTGTTAAAGAGGGAACTGTTAGAATCAAAAGAGTTGAAAGCAGGAAAAAAGGGAAGAAAAAACAAGAAAAAACAGAATCTCCATATATGACTTGTCACTAAATACTGAACATATATGTAATGTCAATGTATAATATAAATACACAATGGTTCTGAATGATCCATCATCCTAAACCCAGAATATTACAAAGGCTTTTAAATATCTTTGTGTGGTCATTAATGATAAATATTGTCAAATGGTGAGCACAAAATACAAAAGGTATGTGAATAATACGCAGTCAGTTCCATGGTTTTGAAGTCATTTGTTCTGCACGTAGTTTACCTTCCACCGCACAGCACTGTGCTTTTCTGTATGCCAACTTCCTGGTATTCTTTGGAAATGGAAGTAGTGGAATAGATTTATTGAGAAGTGGGATTTTTAGAAAACAGGAAATGATGGAGGAATGTCATTAAATATTGTTTAATTAAATCCTACTATAGTAATAGTCCCTATAATAACAACCCTAATAAATAAGACAAAGGCAATAACTAGTTCTGGTCATGTGGCAGTAGTAGCTATCAGCCAGAACCCAGTTTTGCTAACAGCTGTACAAATGTATAATAAAAAGGTGCCTCTTGCACCAAAGAGATTACATTGAAGATTTCATAGATCTTAGCATATTTCTCAGTGATTAACATTCTGCCATTGCATCAAAGACCATCTTTTATTCCTCTGCACAGAGGACATAACAATACTTCTTCCCCAAAGGAAAAATACAGCAGAAAGGGTGTTCTGAGACCTCTGAGGAGTATTTTAAAGTGGAGTCTTTTACTATTACTTTAGGGACTACTACTAGGTGGAGAAGTGAAACATGGAAGGAGGGGAATTCATGACTGACTTAACTGTGTCTGCTGCTGCTCAACTGCTGGAGCGATGACTACACTACAGGACCCAGCTGTGGGACATCTGAAGGGTCCCTCTGCCTGTCATCCCTACCCCAAATGGGCAACTCCATGGGCAGCAGTGCTCTCAGGCTGTAAAAGGAAAAGGGTTGGAATGAAAGGTGGAAAACTATAAAAAAAACCAAAACCCAAACAAAAAAAACGGAGTTAAAAATGGATAATGCTTGCACACGAATGCCTATACTTGTTTCCTTGACCTGTGGGCACTTCCATGGTGATGGGCCAGCAACTTTTCCCCATTATTGCAAAATAGTGAGTTCTGGATTTAAAACACTCATTGTATTTTTCAGTGTTTTTTTGTTAGCTCTTGAGGTTTCACAATTTGCACAAGACTGTTCAGCTGAAGGGAGTATTGTTGCACCCATCGTCATACGCACATTAGCCGACACTGTGCTGCATAATGGGTTCTAGGAGTGGAGGAAAAGAAATGTAATGCCACTGACATAGGTGAACTTCTGCAGGTGTTGTTCAGGTGTGGTACTGGACTGGTTTAAGCTCATTACTTTTCTAA